GAAAAATAAGGAAGTACAGACACTTGGCAGCAACTATTTCTTAAGGAAGCATAATGGTTAAAACATGAGAAAAAAAATGGTAGAAAAAAAAATGATACGGATCCCTGGGTGGCGCAGCGGTTTGGCACCTGCCTTTGGCCCAGGGCACGATCCTGGAGACCCGGGATCGAATCCCACGTCAGGCTGCCGGTGCATGGAGCCTGCTTCTCCCTCTGCCTATGTCTCTGCCTCTCTCTCTCTCTCTCTCTCTCTCTCTCTCTCTGTGACTATCATAAATAAATAAAATTTTTTTTTAAAAAAATGATAGCAGGATGGAGGCAAGCAATTCACTCTAGAGGAGTACCATACTGGAGAGCAGAAAAGAAATAACCATAAATACAAATTAAAGGTATCAAAATCAAAGTAAAAGTTTCCCTCATTCGGTAGGTGGTTGCCTTTTCATTTTGTTTATTGTTTCCTTCACTGTGATAAAGCTTTTTATTTTGATGTAGTCCTGATAGTTTGGTTTTGCTTTTGGTTCCCTTGCCTGAGGAAACATATCTAGAAAAATGTTACTGCCTGTGCTCTCTTCTAGGAGTTTTATGGTTTCAGGTCTCACATTGAGGTCTTCAATCCATGTTGAGTTTATTTGTGTGTATGGTGTAAGAAAATGGTTTCTTTTTCATTCTTTTACATGTTGCTGTCCAATTTTCCTAGGACCATTTTTTCAGAGACTATCTTTTCCTTACTGTATGTTCTTGCCTCCTTCGTTGTAGATTAATTGGCCATTTAAGTATGGGCTTATTTCTGGCCTCTATTTTGTTCTACTGATCTATTTTTGTGCCAGTACCCAACTATTTTGATTACTACAGCTTTGTAGTGTATCTTGAAATCTGGAATTGTGATACTGAGTAAGGGACAGGCAAGGCTGGGCAGGGAGAGATAGATTGGGGGGAGCGGGGGAGCAGGCATGATATGAGGCTCACAGAAATCCCAAGGATGCTGAAATGTAAACACCAGGATCAGGAAATAGACCAGACCACCTGTTCCTGGATGTTATGGAGTATTTTTCTTTGGTGGCTACAAAGTAATTACAGAAACTCACCAGACCACAGATAAGGAAGTCATTAAGTGTGTTGTCAATAGTCCTTACTCAACCAAGACTGCACAAGAATCTCAAGGCCACAAACTCCCTGGTCAAGTTTTCAATAAAAGATCGCCTAAAAACTTTCAGTGGCAACCCTGTCAGGACCCCTCTCACTTCAGAGAGCTTTCTCTTCATCCTCACTTAATAAACTTCTACCACTTTACTCACTCTTCTTTGTCCGAAAGATTCATTGTTTGACTCTGTGAGATAAGAACCTAGCTCTCCCCTTCAATAGCTCCAGTATTTTTCTTTCTCAAGATTGCTTTGACCATTCAGAGTCTTTTGTGGTTCCATTCAAATTTTAGCATGTTTTTCTCTAGTTTTGTGGAAAATGCTATTGGTATTTTGATAGATATTGTACTGAATCTGTAGATTGCTTTGGAAACCATGGACATTTTAACAGTGTTAATTCTTCCAAACCACAAGCATTCTCTCATCAATGTTTTATAGTTTAAAGTACAGGCAAGTCTTTCACCTCCTTGGCTGAGTTTATTATTTTTGATGCAAATATAAATAGAATTGTTTTCTTTATTTCTCTTTCTGCCCCATCATTATTAATGTATAAAAATACAACTGATTTCTAAGTACTAATTTTATATCCTGCAACTTTACTAAATTCATTTATTATTTGTAATATTTCTTGCACATGATACATACAATAAAGGGTTAGTATAAAGAACTTCTACAACTCAACACCAAAAAATAATAATAATCCAATTAAAAATGGGCAGAGGACCTAAATAGACATTTTTCCAAAAAAAACATACATATAGCCAAGTGAAACATGAAAAGATGCACAACATCACTTATCATCTAGGAAATCAAAACCGTAATGAGATATCACCTTACATTTGTTAGAATGATTAGGATCAAAAAGACAAGAAATAACACGTGTTGGCAAGGATGTGGAGAAAAAAGAACCTTCCTGCACTCTTGGTGGGGTTGTAAATTGGTGCAGCCACTGTGGAAAACATTATGGAGGCTCCTTAAAAAACTACAAATGGAAATACCATATGATCCAATAATTCCATTACTGGGTATTTACCCAAAGAAAATGAAAACACTCATTTGAAAAGGTACAAGCACCCCCATGTTTATTGTAGCAGTATTTACAATTGTCAAGATATGGAATCAGCCCAAATGCTGTCAATAATGTTAATGGATAAAGAAGATGTGATTATATATATATAATTATATATAATATATAATATTATACATATATAATAGAATATTATTCATCCATAAAAAAGGATGAGATGTTGCCATTTGTGACAACATAGACAGATCTAGGGGACATTATGTAAAGTAAATTAAATCAGACAGAGAAAGACAAATACCATATGATGTTATCTATATGTGGAATCCAAAAAAGAAAACAAATGAATAAAATACAAAGTAGAATCAGAGATATAAATAAAGAAAACACACCGATGATTCAGTGGTAGGGGCAAAATGGGTGAAGTGGAGTGGGAGATACAGGTTTCCAGTTATGGAATGAATAAGAATCATGGAAATAAAGGATACAACATAGAAAATATAGTCAGTGATATTGTAATAATGGTGTATTGTGACAAATGGTAGCTATACTTATAGTGACATGGCATTGACAAATATAGTTGTTGAATCACTGATCAGGTGACAAATATAGTAAAAAACAAAAAAAAAAATCAAAGTAATAGAATCACAGGGTATGGGTCAAGATTACAGATTTTTTTTTCCTCTGAAGAAAATAGATTAGAAGAGGGTAGCATTTGAGGTGGAAAAGCTGGAAACTTATAAGAATTCACCTGGTAAATCCCCCGTTGAGAAGGAAGCTTTGGGGATTTTTATCAAAGCAGCCCTTGGCATTTGAGGAGAACAAAGATGCTCAGTCCAGTTTTAAATGTTAAACCCCTGATAAATGTGTAATTAAAAAAAATGTTCTTGACACTGTTTCTTCTCAGTAATGACAACATCAGTTGAATATATTGTTACATAGCTTATAGCAACCTGTAGCAGTTTCTTCAGTAGTAACCAGGAAAAGAAATGGACTTTTTACTTCCGGTGTTGAGGGGATAATTTCACATGAGTAACAAATGAGTGCATTCTTTGGGTCACATTTCCCAAAATATTATTTTTAAATAATCGTTTGGCCTCTCAATTTCTTTGATATCACCTTTGAAAATAAAACAGTGTGGACACACACATTTATGTGAAACTAAGCTCTGGGAAATATGTGATTTTGAGCTCCAGGTATTTTGCTACTGTGAAACTATGTAAATAAATCCTAAAAGCTATGTTGATTGAATTAGAACAGGTCTACTTTTACAAAAACATAAAATGGCAACTGACAGGACAATCATTTATTTTAGGAATGAGCTGCATGGTTTTTTAAATTGGATTGTTAACTGGAATAAAGTATTTGGAATGTATCTTACAAAGAGAAAAAGGTTAGTGTACTTGGCTCATTGAATACATTTACTGTTTGAATGCGGCAAATATTTTTGAAAAAAGATGAAAAATAAACATACACTTGAAAAAAATTAACGTTATATTTTCCCAAACTCATATTTTCTTTTCTTTTTTTTTTAATTTTTTAATTTTTATTTATGATAGTCACAGAGAGAGAGAGAGAGAGAGGCAGAGACACAGGCAGAGGGAGAAGCAGGCTCCATGCACCGGGAGCCTGACGTGGGATTCGATCCCGGGTCTCCAGGATCGCGCCCTGGGCCAAAGGCAGGCGCCAAACCACTGCGCCACCCAGGGATCCCCCAAACTCATATTTTCTAGAACAAAACTCTGAAGAACATAATGCTATAAAATTCTTGGTTTTGGTTTTATTCAGGGTTGTTTTCATCTTCATGTTTTAAATAGATTATGACATTATATACTTCGTTTTAAAAAGTTTAACTGAAAGTTAAAATATAAAAGTTATATATACATAAATAAAGTTTATATAAAAACTATTACTAAATTAAATACAGCTGTATATGATATTTATGACACATAAAGTTAATTTTAATATTTTAAGCTTAGGAACATTTAAACTCTATTAAATTTCCTAGTAAAATGTTTGTATGTGTGTTTCAAGGAATTGCAGATCTCTCTCTAATATTTTAAACACACAAAACTGAAAGTCTATACCTAAACCATCATATGTATATATGAATGTCCATCCTTACATAGGTAGCATATCTGTATCTAAACATATTCTCACATGTATACTATTTGTGAGTAGTATTTTAAACACAAGAATTTACCATTTGTAGCTTCTATAGACAAAATTTCATAGGAATAATGGTTAAAATAATGAGTTGCATGACATGCACTATACAGAGAAATGTTTTGTGGGTTTTTTTTTTTTTTTTTAGATTTTATTTACTTATTCATGAGAGACACAGAGAGAGATAGGCAGAGACATAGGCTGAGGGAGAAGCAAGCTCCCTGCAAGGAGCCCAAAATGGGACTCAACCCCAGATACCAGGATCATGCATGCCCTGAGACAAGGCAGAAACTCAACTGCTAAGCCACCCAGGTGCCCTGAGAAATGTTGAAAAAGTAAGGCATGAGAAGTTAAAATAAGATACCAGACAGTTGCCATTCACAAAAATGTTGGAAATGTTCAAAGTAAGAATAAAATAAAACAGGCCTTTAACTGATTCACTGGATGAGTAATATCAAATTTTAATACTAGACATAAATTTTAAATATTTTTTTCTAAACATAAAAATAGTGATAGCTTATCAATTTTTTAACTTTTTGTTTAAATTCCAGTTAGTTAACATATGGTGTTAATATGGGTTTCAGGAGTAGAATTCAGTGATTCATCACTTACATACAATACCCAGGGCTCATCACAACAAGTACCCTCCTTAATACTCATTACCCTTCTAATAAAAATATGGCATGCTTCATGAATTTTCATGTCATTCTTGTGCAGGGAGCATGCTAATCTTCTCTGTATCATTCCAATTTTTAGTGTATGTGCTAACATAAACACTATCACATTGGTTTTTATTTTAAACTCCTTTACTATATATCTGATATGTGTATTTTTTAAATTCACATACAGATTTTGTGATATTTAAACATACTAATGTATTCAAAATAAAATAAATGGGACTTCTCTAATACAAGACGATAATTTTATTAGACTAGTTCTCCTACTGGAAATAATAAGGTGAGGAAAAAATAATAAAGGCGGCCAGTATTTAAGGAGCCAAGATAGTAGATAGAAAAGGAATAACAAAGTAAGACAATATTTTTCCTGCCACTTTTTCACCCAATACTTTTAAACATTTGCCAATTCAGAGCAAGGCACTGATGCCAAACTGTAAGTTATGGTGAAGACTTTTCAGCAATTTCAGAGGGATAGACAAAACAAACAAAACCGGAAGCCAGTACCACAAAGGCAAAAATGACTCCATAACTCCTAATCACAGAGCAAAGGGAATCACAATAAAGGGACCTCAAGAATCCTTGAAGTATTGCCCTTAAGATACTTGCCAAATCCTAAATTCCTCACTGAGTAAAAGGATAAGAAACCAAACAAAAGGAAGTTATTAAAAGGGGAGAAAGCTTAAGAAAGTTTTTGACAATCACATTAGAGTTCAGATTCTTCTAAGAAAGAGGCTCCTGTAAACACCTTCAGTGTTGAAAGGAAATCCCAGAAGTGTTATCCTAGGGGTAAGGAAAAACTGGGGATAGACCACTATTCTGAAGGACTAAATCTCAGCCTCATTATATCTCAAGCCCTATTTGAATAAGGCAATCTAATCTTATATTAGCTGTCAACCCAAGGAAAGCTAAATCCTCTCTAAAGAAAATTATCTCTGCAATTTTTTATACTAAATATCCAGCATTCAATCAAAAAATCCCAAGCACAGGACAGGACAGAACCAAATGACCAAACACCAAGAGAAAAAACAAACAATAGAAACAGACCTATAGGTGATCCAGATACTGGTATTATCAAACAGAATTTAAAGTAACTGTTATTTAGACATTCAAGAATTCCATGACTGAGAAATACCAATGCTAAAATTAAGAGCTCAACAGATGAGTTTAATAGTAAATAATACTCAAATGAAGAAGGATTCATGACTTAACAATAACTATATAGAAAGTATCTAGAATAAAGAGAAAATTATGGAAATTACAAAAATGAATATGAAATTTATATGGGATATTTTGAATAACAAAGCAAAGATGTATACCATACTTCTAATTAGAATTCCTAAGAGAATAAGAGAAATAGAATAAGGTAGAAGCGATATTGGAAGAGATGCCACTGAGATATTTAAAACAGCAGGTAGACTTTAAGACATAGACTCAAGAAGCTTTACTATGTCCAAGAGGGGGAAAAATAGAAAAATAAGTATTCATGTAGTTATATCATCATATTAAAGCTACTGAAAATGAGAGACGAACGAGTCTTAAAATCAGACATAGAAAAAAATACATTACTTTAAATAACATTAAACGTTAACTTTACAAATTGAAATGAGTTTTAAAAAAATTCTACAGTAAACACTATTCATATTTCATGTTATAATCAACATTGTAACAGAAGACCTAGCAATGTAATAAGGTAGTCAAAAACTTTGAAAATTACATGAGAAAATAAAAATAGCATTATTTACAGATATGATATAGAAAATTCCAAGTAATCTATATAAAAACTATTGGAATGAATTTATCAAGTCATTGGACTCAAGCCAATATCTATTTAAAAAATTATTTCTATATACTAGTAAAAAAGACCAAAAAATTAGAAGAAAAAACTTTTAAGGTACCAATTCCAATAGGATGAAAAATAATAAATAACCCAGAACAAACCAAACAAATGATATGTAAGAACTATATACAGACAACTACAGAATCTCACTGTAAGAAATAACTAAATAAATGGAGGCATATACCTTGTTTATGGATTGGATGATTCAAACTGTTCTGTTCTATGTAATGTCAAGTAAAATTAGAATTTTTTTTAATTGATGAGTTGATTTTAAAATTCCTACAGAAAAGCAGAGGATTTAGAATAGCCAGGGCAATACTTTCAGTACACAAAATAAAACAACAACAACAAACCCAGAGGACTTACACTACTAAATAGTGAGGCTTACCATAAAGCTAGGGTAACTAAAATACTGTGGTCTTGGCACAAGGTTAGAAAATAGATCAACAGAACAGAGACCAGAAATATACCAGTAGATAATTGGTTACTTGATTTAGGACAATAGTGACACTGTAGTAAAGCACAGAAAGGATGATTTGTCATTTAAAGATGCTGGTTCGGGATCCCTGGGTGGTGCAGCGGTTTGGCGCCTGCCTTTGGCCCAGGGCGCAATCCTGGAGACCCAGGATCGAATCCCACATCGGGCTCCCGGAGCATGGAGCCTGCTTCTCCCTCTGCCTGTGTCTCTGCCTCCCTCTCTCTCTCTCTCTGTGACTATCATAAATAAATAAAAATTAAAAAAAAATTTTTTTTAAAAAAGATGCTGGTTCAACTAGATCTTTATACAAACATTAACATGGATCCTGATCTCACATTATACACATAAATCAATACTAGAAGCATCTGTATAGCCAAATATGAAAGATAAAATAAAACTTCTAAAAGCCAATAAATCTTAGGGTAACTATTTTCTCCAAGAAACCACAAAATAGCTAACCTTAATATAAAAAATGAACAAATTGGGCTGTGTTAAAATGAAGAACTTCTGTTTATGTAAAAATACCATTACCAGGGTGAAAAAGTAAGCCACAGAATGTATTTGCAATTTATGTTTCTAACAAATAATTCATATACAGCAAAAAATTATTATGAATCAATTTTAAAAAATAATGTAATGTGGCAGATGGTGACTACATTTATCATGGTGAGCATCCAGCAATGTAGAGAACTGTTGAATCAATACATTGTACACCTGAAACTAATATAACACTGTATATTAATATTTCAATTAAAAATGAATCTATTCTTAAAAAGAAAATAACCTAGTTAAAAAAAAAAAAGAAAGAAAGAAAAGAATAAGAATCCTGAGCCCTATGACAGAATGGAGAATCTATCTCATCTAAAATCAAGGGACAAATACAAAGGTGACAATATCATAGGAGGTAACTAATCAAAGTCTGGCAAGGGAATTGACCAGAGCTCATTCAAACAAGTAAAATTTAACACTGATTTTTAAAAACTGAATAGGAGACAATACAGAAAAAGATGCCTCAAGTAGAGAAATTATCATTATAAAATTAAGAGGGAATAAGCTGCCATGGAAGGCCCAGAAAACAGAAATTCTTTAATACTAGAGTTTAAGGTAACTGATGGAAGGAAGAAGATAAAGCACAAAGGTAAGGACGCATGAAAATCCTCATATATGCCATGCTTACTGAGTTGGACTCTATCTAGTAGATAAGCAGGAATCAAATGTAACCAGTATCTGCACCAAAGTGTGGTGAGAATTCAGTTGGTCTGCATGGTACCAGCATAGAATGGTCTATCAGAGGTAATACTGATGTTTAGTGCTCTGTTTGAGCCCCCTGCCCGGGCTCAAATACCAGCATTGCCATTTCCTATTTCTAAATCCAGGTATAAATTACTCAACCTCTTTGTTTCTCACCTCTGAAAGGAGGCAATAGAGGTCTCTACCTTAGAGAGAGCTGATGTGAAAATGTTAATACATATAAAGAGCCTAGAACACTGCCTAGCACATACCACTCAATAAACATTAGATGATGTTAATGCCCTTGAGAAATTTAGTTCTCCTTCTCAGTAGAGGAGCAACATAACATTAAAGTCTGGTGATGGACAGGTGCTTGGGTGACTTGATTTCCGCTCAGGTCCTGATCTCAGGGTCATGTGATAGAGCCCCATGTAGGGCTCTGTGCTCAATGTGGAGTCTCCTTGTCCCTCTTCCTCTGCTCCTTCCCCTACCCCTCTGTTCCTGCATGCATGCTCTCAAATAATTAAATAAAATCTTAAAAAAAAAAAAAAAAGTCTGGTAACGAAATTGAGAAGCTTGAATACTATCTGTCCTAACGTTGCTAATCAGTCGGTGACTTTGGACTTTTGGATTTTCTTAATTCCCAATTGTCCATTTGTAAAAAGACCACATGGTTCATGATTCTTTTTTTTTTTTTTTTCCCAGTAATTGCTTCAGAATTTCAGCAGGCTTCAATGTGACTACTATGATACAGCAGATACTGATTTTTTTCATGATTATGGATTTTCCAGTAGCACATATTGGATTGGTATTTAGCCAAATGGCAATGTTTTTGCTTTTCACATTTAGTTACTTGTTTAAAATACCTGTTTGAATTCTTCAGGGGGAAACTGAAAGGTGATTATTAATAAGAAATTAATACAGTCCAATGGAAAATGTTGGTTTGTGAAAGAAAATGTGTACTTACTGATTTTTCCTGCTTTTAAAGCTTTGCAAGTCAACTAATTATTGAGTGTTTAATTATTATCCAAAAGCAGTTATGAAGCTTTGTTCCTTTCTAAAGGAGTATTCCCAGGAGACTCTCAGCATATCAGCACTGGTGTACCAAAGAATGATAGGAGGTTACGATAAGGATGGGTGGGAGTAGAAGGGATCTTCCCTCCATGCAGCAGAGTCTGCCCTGGTGAGGAGCACCATATTATCACTGACATTGTTTACAACTACCAGTATATGGTGTAACAAAAAGCAGGATGCCTTTTAGTGAATTTTATTGTTGTTTTTAAATTCCCTAGAGATAATGAACTTCCTTCTTCCTTATTACCTGCATTCAGGGCAGGCAGCTCCCACTGTTCCTGCTTTGTTATGCCACTGATTATTAGTACAGGAATTCAATTATTTTATTATGGGAAAAATCCTAAGTGAAAGAAGTCAGAGGCAAACTTTTATACATAATTTCAAATATTATCTCAAGTATATTACATATAAACATTCTATTTCAGAAATCTATATAAGGCACTAAAATGCATACACAACACAGTTGTGTACACATGTACTT